AAACAACTATACAAAAAGGTATGCTCAGAGAAGTGTGCACCCTCCCCTATTCCTTCTGCCCAAATTACCTCTACCCCTCCCACCCTCAACTCACCCCTTCACACACACACATCCCTTATAGGCAATCTATTTTATTACTTTCTGGTTTAACCTTCCTGTGTTTCCTTTGCAAGAATAAGAGGATATCTGAGTTTATGTTTTATTATGTCCCTTCTTTCTACGTAGAAGGTGTCTAGCTCCAGAGAAAAGAGTGTGTTGGTATTTTATGGGGATATTATTAAATTTATAAATTAACTGGAAGAAAACTTATATCTTGATGATGTTTAAACATCCTTCTTGAGAATAAGGAATGTCTTGTTCAAAATTAGTTTTATATCTTTTAGGAGTGATTTTTCCTCAGATAGATTTTAAATATTTCACTTTTCATTTATTCCTAACTATTTTAGATCTTTTGCTATTGTAAATAGGGCTTCCTTTTTCATAATATCTTCTATTGGTTATTATTTGTGTACATGAAAGTAATTAATTTTGGTGTGTTGATTTTATATACTGCCACCTTGTTGATTTCTTTTATTGAGTCATTTTTGCTCATAAATTGTTTAGGTTTCCTGGCATTGCTATCATGTCATCTGCAAATAGAGGTAGTACTACTTTTTTCTCCCCAATTTTTTTTTTAAGATTTTTATTGGGGAATCGGGGGATGGGAACAGTGCTGGGGAATTGGGAAAAGGGGAACAGACAAGTTGCTGTCGTTTTGTTCTTCAGTCTAGTTGTGGAGGACGTTGCTTCACTGGCCCAAGTTGGCACCATCGTTGCGCTCTTCCCAGGCGAGGCAGATCAGTCGCCGGCTTCTGGATGGCTGCTCACAGCGGTTCTCCCCAATTTTTATACCTTTAGTTGTTTTCTCTTGTCTAGCTGAGTTGGTTAATTAGAATTGGTTAGTGATATCTCTAGTACTATGTTAAATAATAATGGATATAGTGGGCATTCTTACCTTGTTCCTGACTTTGATGGGTACATCTGTGTTTTCACATTAGGTAAAATGTCAGTTTTATATATGCATGTGCGTATATACATACGTATACCGGGGGTGCCAAAAAAAAAAATATATATATATATAAACATGATTTGTATTCATCTTTTGTTATTGGTATATATTGGGTATTACAATTTTAATACAGTTTTTTCCTTTCTTAAAATGTGTATACAGGGCCGGCCGAGTGGCGCGTTGGTTAAGAGCTGGCTTGGGATGCCAGCTCTGAGCAGCAGGGCCCCGGTTCAGATCCCACATGGGGGCCAGTGACACTGCCCTCTACAGCTAGGATGCTGAACAACAGCTCGACCAGGAGCTGGGCTGCCGTGAGTCGCCGGCGATGGCGTAGGCTGCAGCCCCTGCTGCATTGGGCTGCCATAAGCTACCGTGTGTTGCTGGCAGCCAGCGTGAGCGACCGGCAGCCTGTGTGAGCTGCCTTGAGCTGCCATGAGCGGCCATCCAGAGGCCGGCGACTGATCTGTCTCACCTGGGAAGAGCACAATGATAATACCAATATGGGCCAGTGAAGCGACATCCTCCACAACTAGACTGAAGAACAAAAGGACAGCAGCTTTTCTGTTCCACTTCCCCTGATTCCCCAACACTGTTCCCCTCCCTCAATTACCCAATAAAATCTTAAAAAAAAAAAGCGTATACATTTTTTGGCACCCTCTGTATATACACACACATTAATATATGTGTATACATGTCAACCATAATCATAAATGATATGTGACATTTCCTAATCAATGATTTATGATATATGAATATCATACATAAAGCAAGTATTCACCCATTTTTATTTTCTTGAGAGTTTTTATTAGGAATGAGTGTTGAATTTTTTCAAAGTCTTTTTCAGAACTATTAATGTATTAATATAGAATTGACCCTTGAACAACATGGATTTGAAGTACATAGGTTCACTTATATGCGGATTTTTTTCAATTGACAATTTGAAAAAACTCACAGATTACAATGTAGCCTAAAACAGATGACTTATGGTATCGATAAACATAGTACAGTATGTATTTTCTCTTTCTTACAATTTTCTTAATAACATTTTCTTTTCTCTAGTTTGTTTTATGTAAGAGTACAGTATATAATACATGTAACATACAAAATATGCATAATCAACTGTTGAGGTTATCAGTAAGGCGTCTAGTCAACAGTAAGATATGAATAAAGTTTTGGGGAAGTCAAAAGTTATATGTAGATTTTTAACTGCTCGGGGGCTCAGCACTCCTCGCCTCCATGTTGTTCAAGGGTCAACTGTGGCAGTGTATATTAATAGATTTCCTAATATTGAAATATCCTGAATTTCTTGGTCGTGATGTTTTCCTAATGTAGTGGATCAGAAATGAACAACCCACTTGAGCTCTTTCCAAATTCCTCCTGGACAACATCAAGCAGGAAACATAAGTTTTCCAACACTAAGTTTCAAGTCACTAAGTTTAAACCTTTTAGGAAAGAAGGGGAAATAGTGCTTTTTCTTCTATAGCCTTAAAGGGCAGCTGAACTACTGAAAATTCTTGGCTTGCATTTTCTTTCCCTGAGTTTCCTGAAAATGCATCTCGGCTGTACCTTGTTTTATGTGATTTTTTTTTTTTTTCAGGGACTGCAGCCTACACCGTCGCCGGCGACTCACGGCAGCCCAGCTCCAGGTTGAGCTGTTGTTCAGCATCTTAGCTGTGGAGGGCAGTGTCACTGGCCCTCATATGTGGGATCCGAACCGGGGCCCTCTGGTGTCCCAAGCCAGTTCTTAACCATGGCGTCACTCGGCCGGCCTTACGTGATGTTTTTAAGAAGCCTGATGGCTGCCTAATTTTCTTAACCTTCGAACTAATTTGATCTTTTTGCCTGGAGCCCTTAGGATAGTTTTCTTTGTCTTTAAAGACCAATAGTTTTAATCTTCCTCTATTTGGTGTCTTGCTTGTTTTTGTGTTTGTTTGTTTGTTTTAAATTTCACTAGGTTTTTAGAAATGTATGGGTTTTGTTCTTCTTGTTTTTAAGGGTCTTTTATAGTGCCTTTAATTCTTTTTTCCTACTTAACATTTTACTATCTGGTTTATAGTTTGTAAATAATGCTCTTTGACTCCCATGTGTTACTTACATAGCAGGCAATTATCTTTTCTACTCTCCTAATTCTCTTTTCCTTCTCCTCCCATTTTTTTAGTTTTATTCTTTGTACTCTGTGTGTATTATGTATTATGTTCACATCCTATTCTTCTACTCATACTCACTTTTGTTTTAGTCTTTGTTCTAAAATTAAAGGTATTAAATGGTCAACGTCAGAGCATGGCATTAATTTCCCTGCTTCTTGCTTCTTTCCTTTCTCTTATTGCCATGTCTTTGAAGAGTACCACCTTTCTCTCGCTTCTTCTCCTCTAGAAGCGACGCTTTTCTGAGGCTTCCAACTCTGGTCCCGCTCACTTTCACTCTGCTTCCCTGTGGCTCACTCTATGAACTAGCAAGTCTCAGACATGAGGTCAGTATATTTGCACTTGTTGTTTGCCTTTCATTTTTCTGAGTGTGATTTTGTCTTTCCTTCATATACTCGTATGCTCTCAGCTCCCCTCTTTCTTACAGTCTCTTAAGCCTTCCTCTTTTGCTTTCTATATCCACAGGCTTGCAACAGTGGCAGGACATTTGTTGGAATTTGAAGTTTATTTTTCTTACAAGCAATTTGTAGTTCATGATATTCTCTGTCTCCTACTAATGTTAAAAATATGGGTCATGTGTGGTTTTATCTGCATTTTTTGTTAAATTAATAGTTTTTTGGTGGGGGGTGAAATGCATGGAGGTATTAAGATTCAGGTGGCCACCCTTATCCTGCAGACCTGCTATCTTGCTTTTTGAGATGTTTTCTCTGTAAATACTTCTGCACTCCTATCCCTATTTCTTTTCTCTGGATATCATAGAAAGTATGATATTGAACTAAGCACCAATGGAGATCCATGCAATTAGGTACTTCAAGAATTTAACTCCTTACTATTGTCACAATATTAAACATTTGGGAAATTCCATAAAACAAAAACAACTAGCACCCTTAATAAATTATGTATTCAAATAATGCAATGATAGGAAAATTGCTCTTTTTCTGTAAGGACTTAACTGTGCTTACAAATGCACCAAGATAATAGAGGTTGGACAAGTAAGTTCGCGAACTCACCCTAGGAAGAAAAGTGCTACATACCTCATTGCTGAATTTCACTATGGTCACCTTCGAAGTGCTCCCCTTGGGAAGCTATGCACTGACACCAGCGCCTAGTCCACCCTTTAAAGCAATTTTGGAACTCTTTTTCTGGAATAGCCACCAGAGCTGTCATTGTATTACCTTTGATGTCCTGAATGTCATCAAAATGTCTTCCTTTCAGTATTTCCTTTATCTTCGGGTAAAGAAAGAAGTTATTGGGGGCCAGATCAGGTGAGTAGGGAGCATGTTCCGATATAGTTATCCATTTGTTGGCGAAAAAAGTCCCTCACAGACAGTGCCGTGTGAGCTGGTGCATTGTGGTGATGCAAGAGCCATGAATTGCTGGCAAAATGTTCAGGTTGTCTAACTTTTTCACACAGCCTTTTCAGCACTTCCAAATAGTAAACTTGGGTAAACTGTTTGTCCAGTTATAATGAATAACCCCTCTGATAACAAAAAAGGTTAGCAATATTGTTGCAACAAGTTCACAAGCTTAATTGTCAGGCCTCGCATGTGCCAAGACAGTCAAAAGCATAGAAATGCCAATTTTACCTAAAGAAATGAGATTAATTAGAGGGAGGATTATTTTATGTTTTTAAAAATTGTGGCATAAAATGGAAATTTGCATGGTTTTTAATTAAGACAAAATAATTCAGAGAAATGTCTCTCTTCTGGGAGCCACTTAGGACAGTTGCCATATTTTCTCCAGATGTACTTGTTTACTTTCCCCTTCCATTAGAAATATTCCAGGGAAAATTTTGACAAGCACTTATATAAGATACCCTGTCTGTTTTCATGTCAACTGCTGAGTTGGGACATCTATGTTCATCCAGTAATTTATAAAAATGCGAAATAGGATAGGGTAAAGGCACCCTACTAGGTACTTCCTCATGTTATTTAAAGCTATTGCAAGACATTCTTGAGAGGAGGCAACTGATACTACTCCACCAAGACAAATAACAATAGCTAGCTGCTATTTGATTTTCAAACAGTCCTTTAATCTGTCTAGTAACCTCATAAAAAAAATAAACCATATTAGTTTATCAAAGCTTCTCCTTAGTCGACATTTGTTGGCTTGCTAATGACCATAACATTCCTTTCTGCATGCTCAAAAACAAACCTTTTAACAATCTGTTGTCAAATCTGCAAACATAAATCAAGTGGTCTATCATTTCCAGAATTTATCCTATTCCTCTCTTCAAAACTAAAGCTAAAAGTTACCTATCTGTAGTCTTATGGTCTCTCTCCTGTTTGCAATGACTTTTCAAATACTACTGAACAGTAGCTCTGAGATCATGGCTGAAAATTCTGTTACCATTCTAGTACCCAATTCATCTGGCCTCATTTCAGACATCTTGGTGTTAGTTTATTACTAATCCGTCATCTGTTTGGGGCTGAAAATTCCCACTTTTCATAGTTTCTTCTCTACATTCAGTTTAAAAACCTATCTAGAAAAGAGAAAACAGGAGTTGAATGATTCTGCTACTTCTCTAGTATGCTTTCTGTTATCATCTCTAAGCAGTAGACTTGCTATTTCCTTGTTCTTTTTGACTGAAAAAAAAACCCAAAACAAAACAAAACAAAAAAAACCAAGCCTTATAGTTTCTCTGGTCTTTACCATTTTTTTTTTATCCTCAATTTATGGGAAGTCTTAGTTCACAACACTTTTAAAATAGAGTTGCTACATTTCTACATTCATCCTTGGTTACTCTCCTTTTTTAATACCTTTTATACTTACATTTGAAATTTCACACTGCTAAACAGCCATTCAACTTTCCTGAGCTGTCTCTTATTTCATTTGAATTACTTCACAATTATTCAACTAGAAGTTTGTTTTTTGTTTTTTTTTAAATCTCCCTTTGTAAGCCATAATGCGTTTTGAGACTCAAGTCCATGAGTCAAAAATTTTTTTCCCTTAACTTTTTGTAAAAGTTTCCCCAAGTCCAAGGTACTTGTGTGACTCTCAAGGTTTGCTTTTCTGGGCATCATAAATTATTAGCTTGGAGTTCTTAACATTGTTTGTGTCAAAGCACATGACTGATGATAGTCTCCCATGTGACACAACTTCATGTGTACCCCAAGTTTTACAAACCTCAAGTATGTTTTGTCTAGAAGAGAAACATTGTAATCATATTAATTGCTGCCTTTATTGGCTGTATATAAGTTATGATTGCTCTCCACCGTGCCATGGTTACATTGATAAAGAGGCTGCTGATGGTGTAGAATTCCATACCACTTCTTATAAGGACATAAGAGCAATAATATCATCAGAATAACCTTGACCACACTCAAATGTATGTATTTTTAACAAAGTAGATAATTTACAATTTTACTTCTTTCACTATTAGTAACAAATTACTTGCAATTCACCTCATGTGTCATGACCAAGTTGAAGATGACAAAGGTGCTTTCTCCCCTCCATACCACCAACTAGCTTTTCCTTCTTGGTCAAAACTAAGTCCAGGCCTTGATTTTAATTATGAGGGCAGGCGGTAATTATCTCATCAGGATGGGCCAAGTCGCCTTTCATGACAACCTCCCTTTTTGCACAATCTGGGTGCCATTTGGCTCAGTAGTCTGTAACATTCTCCCACAGTCATATATATTATTTCTAATGTGGTAGTATTTTGGCAGTCTCTTTATATGAGCCTTTTAAATATGGCAGTGGAATTTCTCATGATGCCATTAGAGTAAAGAAATGCTAAGTTTTTGTAATCTTTAATTTAACATAAGTTGATCAAATATAACTCGAAATACAAAATTGTCTGCAAAAGGTATTTTTCTAACAAATCCTAACAATGAATACTAAACTTAAAACTGTTAAATCATTAGACAATGCACTCAGTGATGAAAGCACTGAGGACAAACAGGCAGAGAAGGGAAGGGAAGGGAAGGGAAAGGAAATTATACAAATAGGGGAAATTTGGGAGTTCCAAACAGGCCATCCATCCATGCTGGTCTTCTTCTAATACGCAGATTATGGCTAAACTAGAATAATTATTATTTTCTTTTTTATTAAGAGCCATTTGTAATGAACAATTTTTTCATTCTCTAGTTGCTTGTATTACAATTTCCACAATGTGTTTTACATTAAAGTCTATCTATTTCTTACATAAAATACAGTATTTGCTTAGAACTTGCTTCTCAGCATATTTAAAGATTCCTGACACACCTTTATAAATCTGTTCTATACTCCAAAAGCTTCAATATAATCTTTACTAAAGGTGGTGAAAACTTATTTAAAAAATTTTTTTTTCTTATGAAGCCCCTTTCCTACCTATTCATGTGACCCACTCCAATTCAATTTCCCTGATGTTTTTAACCTAGAAAGTTTGATCAAATGAATTCCCTGAAGCTGCTCTTTCAAATGCCTAACACATCCTTTATGGGATCTTAAAAAGACTCTTGAAGTTCTTCACTTTATCTAAGAAGTCAAAACATAAAATGGCAAAAGACAAACAGCTTAGACGTGGTCCTTTGACCGCTTGAATATCTTCTGACAAGCAGAAGGGAAAAAAAGGAGGACAGAGGAGGGAAAGAAGAAAAGAGGGAGGGGAGGAAAGAGTAAATATCAAAATATTAAAGAAATTGTTTTAAAATGAGCACTGAAAAAAAAAGACCCATACAGTCTGTTAGCAAATATATTAGAATGCAACAGTTACTATTTTTCAAAGTGGCATTACTATTTATCCCGTCCTCTCTTTAAACTTATTTTTGCTAATACCTATATTTCTAAGGACAGGGGAAATTTTTTTTCCCTCCAATGTGGATGCAACTGTAATGCATAATGGTACAAAGAGCGGGAGCCCTTCCTCTCTATTCAAAGTTCACTCAGGTAAAATCCAACTCTCTGTATTATTCCACTCTCACCCAGGAGGCAATGGCAGCAAATGTCCATAGTAAATGTCATAAAGCACTTCGAACAAGAATGAACATCAAGGCTTAGCTGGTTATAGTAATCTTTCTTCACTGCCCAAAAAACTACCTTTTAAAAATTCAGACTTCATATATTTTATGACCATTTTCACATGAACTTATTTTTAAGAACATTACCCAAAAACATATTTCTAACTTATTAAGCACTACTCTAAAAATTATTTCTATGTACATCTTCCACACAACAAAAATCAAAGTTATTTCTTTTTTCAGTTCAGAAGTCTAATGGTAGTTTTTAAAATCCAGTTAAAAGCACTCCATTTGTGATTTTCATGGAGGATGTGAAAGTCTGTCTGAAAGTCATCCAAACAGAGAGTCAATTACACCCTCAGATTCTTAAATTTGTGGAAGAAATTTTGTGGGTTAACATGTGCCTGAGCTATAATACCTTCCTTAGCAATAATACTCTGGTCTAGAACCCTCACTTTTAGAAGTCACCTGAGATTCCACACTCAACCTAGAACAAAGCAGCAATTTTTCTGAATCATCTCTGTGCCTTCGCGTCCAAAGTTCCCCTACACTTTGAGACCTGGGGGACAGGGTCTCAAATTGGATATAAGTCTCTTTTGCCAAATCATCTTCCCAGAAGGATTCTGACTTACACTGAAGTTTGCAAACTTTGTATAACAGGAAAAAAATCAACGGCAAGACAACAACGCAAGCGGTACCGCTCACCACAATGAGGAATGACCCTTGAGAATCACCTTCTTCTTCATCTCTGTCAGTAGAAAAGATGATACATTGGTCTTTCTGGAGAGGGGCTCCTTCTGGACAGACACATGCTATGTATTGCCTACCAGGCTCCAAGCCACTTATGCCTACTTGGTTCTTGCTGGAGTCTGCATTCAGCAGCAGCAGGTCCTTCTCACCATACTTGGAATACAACACCGTCACCTCAGGGCTATGCGTGGTGTTGACGACGTTCCACATCAAAGTCACACTCTCTTTGGTCTCACTGACGACCCTGAGATTTTCTATTGTAGCATTTGTCTCCATCGGCATTGATCGATCCAGCAATGCCAGCTCTTCTTTTTTACTTGCACTAGCTGGGGGAAGCTGGCTTCCACTCATCTCCAGCTTTGAACTTCTTTTCCCATCTGCATGGAACTGGAGTGACTGCCGGCTGGCCAGGGTGGTGCTTGCTGAAATTCTAGTGCTTAGTGTTGTAGTTGAAGAAGCGATGGAGGAGAAGAAAGGAGATGAGGAGAAGGAAGCAGCAGAGGGACGAGACAAAGTAGGAGTGGAAAGAAAGGTGGAAGAAGTCGGAGAGAAAGAAGAGGAGGAAGAAAGCCGGGGAGATGGCGATGAACCAGTTACAGATGTAGATCTAGATCCTGGCGGGACCTCACGCTCAGGGTGATCTCTGGTTCTTCTTTCAAAAGTGTCTGATGATATGGTGGTCGTGACAACACCAACCACTGTCACAGTAACCACAGATTCTGACATCCCAGCCAGATTTTTGGCCTTACACTTGTAATCCCCAGCATCCTTGTAAGAAATGCCTGTCAAGCTTATTATGGACCATCTGACGCCTTCTCCTGGAGATTCCTGAATTACTGGGGGGAGGGGGGAAAAAATATATATGGTTGGCAGCATGCCAACAATTTGGTTTTACATGTATCCTTTTCATATAAACCACTAGGGAAATGGCACAAAGCACGCAAATCCCTGATAGGGGGTGGTGGTTCTGTAAATTGCCTACATGAAGGTCTAGGACATGGCAGATGGAGAATATTATTTTTAAAAGACGTGGGGCTGAGAATTAGGAGACTTTGTTTTACTAAACTTTTGTCCACTAAGTAGTATGTGACTTCAGACAAGTGAATTAGTATTTGTAGGGCTCTGTTTCTGTGCTTTTCAAATAAGGGAATAAGACAAAGTGATCTCAAAGATCCCTTCCAATTTTAATGTACTGTGGTTCTATGAAACATTTATGACAAGACTTTACTGAAATATTTCCCCAAATATTATTTCACTGTAATAAAATGCCATCTATCTGCAGAGGGCATAGCAGATCTTTTTCTGGCATGAAGAGGTTGTAATTCGTATTCTCAATCTTTCATTTTATATTTAATTTAGATAAACTAGTAAGCTATCGGTTCTTTTATTTGCAGGATAATATATAGTTTTCGCAGAATTGGAATTTTACTTTCCCAAACACTAAAATCTAAAATATTTACATTCTGTCTTGATTTCTGAAGTTTTCTAAAGAATAATAATGCACTGAGAAATATTCCCAATAGCCCCAAGTTTAACTCACTACCCTCAAGGTATGGACTATTTATGATCAATTTGTAGGAATATTAGGCCTTGACGTTTTTCTTTTATTCTATCAGGTTTCATTATTTCAACCTCGATTTAATTTTAAAGCATTTTCAAAATATATTGCTTTAATCATCAGAATATCACTATTGAGCCTAAGGCCAAAGCATTGACTCGGTCAGAGTAGGATCTGAAAAGTCTGTGTAACCAATATTTCCAAAAATTATACTTTTTTCTTCATCATAAGGTTTGAATGTAATTTGTTACTTAATTATTCAAAAATGAGAAACCTGTATGAAGATCCCTTTTGAGAAAACTGTAATGGTTACACATTTTAAAATGAGTCATATCCAAGATGACGCAGCAAGACAAAGGTCTTATCTGCAATCACCTATGCACTGGATCATGTTGTTTTCCATCTAAGAAAAAAACCAGATTCTCTGTGTTCATCTATGTAGCTAGTCAGATAAAATGAGGAAAATAATAACCAATAAAATGGACCTTTCAAATTCCTTTCACCCAACAATTTTGGCATAATTTATTAGAATTAACCAACCAATTGAAAATCTCCCAAAAACATAAGATTAAATTCAGACCTTTGAAAACTCTTTGTTTTCAACATAGGCCTGAATTAAGAAAATACCTGTATAGGGCCGGCCGAGTGGCGTGTTGGTTAAGAACTCGCTTGGGATGCCAGAGGGCCCCGGTTCGGATCCCACATATGAGGGCCAGTGACACTGCCCTCTACAGCTAAGATGCTGAACAACAGCTCAACCTGGAGGTGGGCTGCTGTGGGTTGCCGGTGACAGCGTAGGCTGCAGCCCCTGTGGCAGTGGGTTGCCATGGGCTACCGTGTGTAGCCAGCAGCCAGCGTGAGCGGCCAGCAGCCGCAGTGAGCAGCCATCCAGAAGCCGGCGACTGATCTGCCTTGCCTGGGAAGAGTGCAATGATGGTGCCAACTTGGGCCAGTGAAGCAATGTCCTCCACAACTAGCAGCAACTTGTCTGTTCCCCTTCCTCCAATTCCCCAGCACTGTTCCCCTCCCCCAATTCCCCAATAAAATCTTTAAAAACAAAAACAAAGAAAATACCTGTATAATTAATGGGTGAGCTGTCGGATCTGGTCCACGTGAGCTGTGGAGTGGGGTAGCCAGTGGCATCACACCGCAGCAGCACATTACTGCCCAGAGCAGACGTGATCTGTGTGGCCGAGGTCATCACCGATGGCTTCAGACACTGATCCAACTCAGCCCGCTGAAACAAAATCCCTGTCAGGCGCTCGGGCTCACTGCAGACCATCTGTGTATCAAGAAGCACTATGGCCGGGTCAGCAACTTTTGACATCTCGATCACTTTGGAAATGTGACAGTCACAGAACCAAAGGTTGTCCTGCAGACCTAAACCAAAGGGAGGACAAGGTTGATTAAGGTAATTCCAATGGATTCAGTTTACATCACAGCCTCATGGGGAAGCAGCTGTCTGCACTGTCTCCCTCAAAACAGAAGTGCTCTGAGCGATGAAATAGAGTGGGCTCTCTAGAGTCAGTCTGGCCCTATAACCCTGCCACTTGAGCAAACATATCCTGGCAGTTCAGCTCATTAATGATCATAGCTAACAGCCGCTGAGCATTGACCCTGGGCTAGGCTTTGTTCTAAGCATTTGTCTGTATATTATCTCATTTAATCCTGACAATCCTATGAGGAGGAGAGTGTTATTGTCCCCATTTTAAAGATGAAAAAGCAAGATACAGAGAACCCAAATGATTTGAACACCTAGCTAGTGTCGGAGCTAAGATTTGAAACCAAGTGCCACAGAATGCCATACATAGAGATGTTTCTAGGGTGCTTTGAAAGTACTTATATTATTATAAGTCTTATAGGGCACTGGGAGGCACCTAACTCAGCCTGCACTATGGTTGTGTGATCTGAAGACTTATGGAGGTAGTCCACATTCTGTGTCGCAAAGCATAGACAGAGATGCAAGCAATGTCAGGAGATAAGATCGGAAAGATTGGTAGAGCTTAGAACATGGCTTGGTGTGAATGTCATAAGTGGTAGACATGGAGGTGCACCGTCTAAATCTCCCTTCAAGAGAGACTCGACAGCCAGGAGTACAATTGGCTGATGGCCCCCAGTTCCAAGTGCCTGCAGGACCTGCCTCAGCTTTCAGAGTTGTGAGCCGAAGTGTTTGTCCTTCAAGGAGGCGGTCAGGGAGAGCTTAAAGGAAGGTGAGGAAAAGCTCCCTAAAACTAGAGGAAAGGGGACCCTTGTTATGGAGTGGCAGAAAGTTTAGCAACACTGTCACCTGTGCTTAAGATGGAAAGTAGAAAACATACTCAATGAAATAAATATTCTAGCTGAGGATATTTCTACACAAGAGTGTTGAGCTGCTGCCTGGTGTCTTCTTGTTGCTCATAGTAAAATGGAAAGGAGAGAGAGCAGCTAAAGGAAGAACTGTTAAATATAAAAAAGCCCAAACTTGCTGGGTTCAATAATAAAACTGTTTTTTTACTCCCAGCCTCTCCAACATTCTCAAATTAAGAAAGGGCTTCAGAGTGAAAATCAAATCCAGGATGCGTGAGGCTATAAAAGCATTTGCGAAGGTCTCAGAAGGCACTAAGATGGGGCTTCAGAGCCTTTGGGCAGACAGGGGTCTCGCTAAGGATCTTAAGGGTGATGTGCCACGGCAGCCTCCCGTACAGCCAAGGGTGAAAGGATTGATCTCAGAAAGATTTGTGCTTGTGGCTCCTTAGTGATGGAGTGGATTATACAATGATTCCTAAGGATAAAAGACAGACAATAATTTCGAAAAATTCTAAACATGGTGGAAGATTTAACTGTTCATCATAAAAATTAGATTTCTATTTATGTCTATTTTCATTACAATAGCACTTCATGACTGGTTCATATTTTTCTGCCAGTATTGGTAAAAGTCTACTGTTTTTTCTAAAAAATTCCTATTTTAAAAATTTCTTTTATTCCATGGATGAATTACTTTGAACTTCTTCTTTTTACATGTAGTCCTGTGATTCTATGACTAGTTCTCTAATATTGATTTGAACTTTAAATAACCTGCCAACAAACATCAAATTTATTCTGTCATGTAATAATTAATATGTGTAGAATATTTTATACTTTCAAAACACTTGTTATGCCAGATTTTTTCTTTATAAAATCATAACAGTACAAGTTGATGGTTATTGATTGCTTCCTATGTTGCAAATACTGCACTTGTCAAGACTTGAAAAGGGTCTGAGTTTCACCCTACTTTAGGGTGAACAACTCAACCCAGTTTGCCAGTTTTATAGATGTTGACAGAAGACACAAGATTTCTGGTCAGAGATGAAGGATAGTTTATTACTCACAGCTATGGAAGGAGACATGATCTTTATTATACCGGGCAGTAAGCATGCCTACCCTTTGCTCTGGAGGAAGACACACCTCTACCTTCCAAAGTAGCTCTCTACACAAGCATCCTTGAAAAAGTAGTTCCGAACAAAAGGCAGTCAATGCCTGCCTCTGCTCACAAGACATGGAGAAATGCGAGAGACCGTGGAAAATTGTCCCCAACCATGCTAAACACGTTAGAGGATTTGTCTATCTCCATCCTGACAATAGCATGAGGTGGGTAATATTAGTATCATCCTCACTTTAAAGGAGAGAAACCAAGGCTCGGGAAGGTTAAGGGATCTACTCAAAGTCACACAGTGGGATGCCGTCAGGACTTGAATCTCAGTATCCTGATTTTAAAGCTCTCACTCTCCACCACCATGTGTAGGTCTTATACTCACCTCAGGAAGCTAGTACAATTCTTCCAATTTCACACCAGGGACACTGAAGCACAAAGAGATTACTGTCTTGACTTTGCAAGTAGTCCTGACTAAGTTCCAGATGTTTTAGCCTCCTCATCTAATACTGCTTCCACCATAACTCATTTCTTCATCACCTGAAAACATCAGAGCCCTGGGTGACAGTTATAAGTGCTATTTATCTACAAATAACAAATGTCAAAGCAGTGATGTCTGGGGCACAAATATCTATATAGGGAAAGATCCAAGTACTAGAACATTAACAATTTCATGCTTTGAAACGCTTATAAAAATGTGTTAACAACGAAACTAAATTCTTTTTTAAATTAATCCAACTGGTTATATCTAAAAGTTACGTAAACCAGAAAAATAGTTTTAAATCCCTGAAAAATAAAATATGTATTTATTCCAGCTTTGAAATATCTAAGATCAAAGGTACAACTTTTAAAGCCTGAATAACAGTGATCTAAGTGCTGAACATATTTATCAAGTGTTTTTTTCTTCTGGGGACAAAGGTACAAGAACTCTCTGAAGTTAAAGTATTACTTGTACTGACTGCATTCCTTCAAGGCAATATACCAACCACAATCCTGGTAAACTTGGATTAATTAATTTATTTTATACAACTATTCTTGGAGACGGGCAGATGAACTTTTCCTTATCCCTCTTCTAAAAGGGTCATGTCTGGGTGACCGGTTAGCTCAGTTGGTTAGAGCATCATGCTGATAACATCAAGGTTGTGGATTCGATCCCCACATGGGCCACTGTGAGCTGCATCCTCCTAAAAGAGTCAACTATGCCATTGTAGCATGAAAGCAACGTGTAACCAATGATCATGGCTATTCCCCAATAAAATTTTAAAAAATAAAAGAAAAGGATGTTTTCCAGGCATTACAGTAGTTGGATTAAATGCACTATTTTTTTT